TTTACACTAAAAGTGATTCTCATCCTAAGAATCACTCCCGGGGAGTGATGCCAAACAGGACCTAAACTCCCTCATATTCTTCATTCCACCACTCTTTCACCTTATTAGCAAAACCTAAGTGTGTTACTCACATGTTTTCAAATCTAAACGGTCTATGACCACTTAAGAAATCATAGGCTCCAATGCTAGTCCGGCAGTGATCCAAAGTGACTCTTGAAAAAGCTCTAGTTGACAACCCTACCCAATGTTCTTCCCACTCAGAATTAAAAATAAATCTCTCCAATTTCGAACAACTCAGGTATTTTGTAAACTAGACCAAGTGAATACAGTCTGCTAGAGAGGGATCTCTAACAACTCACTCATCAATGAACTCATTGAATTTCTTCATACTAGCCATGACCACCCGATTTTCCACTTCTATTTCTTGTAGCATCGCAATATCTAGATCTTCTTTCCTAAGTAGTATCTTTTACTACCCTCCTTTTCCTAGCACTACCCCAACCCTCTAACATTCCTCTTGGTCAATCCCCTACTTAGGGCCCTTTTCTCCCCTTGCAATGAACTCTAAATCAACCACCATTTCAAATTTTAATGTTTCAACCTCCATCACCTTTCTCTTCCTTCTATCAACCTTTTCCTTTTTCCCTTTCTTTTTTGGTGTAGACTTTAACATTCTCTACCTCTCTCAGCTTCAACCCCATCGCCTCCACAGATTCTACCACCATTTCCTCCTCCTTGTTGTTCCCCTCCACTACCCTCTCTTCCCTCTGAGATACATCTGTACATCCAAACTATCTGTATTAACTTCATCCATAACCTCCTTGGTAGATCCTCAAAGAATTCACACACCATCTCCCAAATTCTTTTACCTTGTTCCCTCCATTCAGCCTCATCACTTCTTACTCAAAAAACAACCACCACTTCCTTCATACTACCCTTTTGTAGCTCTTCAGCCAATAATTGGGGCTGATCAGACTCTGTTACAGGCACAAAAGACTCATTAGTATTCTTAAACTTAAGGACAACTATACCTAGCAAAGGAAGCTTTGTAGGAGGAATGCCACAATGAGCAATTGGATTAGAACTCAACCCACAAGCACCAGTTTCCACAGGTCCAGTACTAGACTGGAATTGAGAACAGGGTGGTTAAGCCTGGTTATCACACAAATCCCCCCATGGTGTACCTCCACTTTGCGTTGAAGCTAAGTTGGAAGCCACTAACGGGACACCCTGCACCTATTGTGTCCCTACAGTCACTTTAAAGTTAGGTGGATAGTGGCCAATACCTTGCTGATAGAAATTTCATCTCCCCTACCTACCTCCAACGCAGCCTCAAAAAACATAGGTACAATCAAGTTCATCGACCATTTTTTTTCATCATCCACCAAAAACAACAATTCAGTAGCGAAGCTTCATCCTCCCCAACAACGTCTTCTTGTTCCTGGGATTGCATCTTTCTAGTGAATGAACCTTACTATTACAAGTCTCCATACCATCCAAACATCCTAATCCTAGCCGCTCGATTGTGCAAGTCGTCATGGGCAGGATGAAGATGGACCAAAATTAGTGTCCACCGATGGCCCCAACAACACCCCCATGTGACTACTTAAAACATCACCTGACCCTACCTCTTTAAAACTAAATGGGCTCAGCCCACTACCAGGTTCTTTCCTTTTTTCAACTGATACAAAGGGCCCAGCCACTTTCATTTTCATGGCCTAGCCCCAATACTAGCCCTTGGGTTTTGGCCTCTACAATTGAGCCCACTCGAACTCCCCAGCACATTAATTGCAGTAGACCCATTTGGTCTATTTTAAAGGAACAACAGTTCTCCCTATTTACTCGTACCCACATGGCCCTCCACCATAGCCACCTGGCCACTTTTACTAGGGTCCTGAAATAGTCTAGAATCAGTCGCTTGACTGTGGACAAGCACAAGCTTATTTAGTGAACCTTGCTGACCATGCGTGGGCCCCAAGCTACCACCTGCCAAGGCCTTAGCATAAGATTTGATACACAACTCTCCACTCTTTCCTCCTATTCTTCTTCCATTCTAGTCACTGCAGCCTTCCCCTTTAATGCTTCGTTCTCAAGACTTTCCTTCTTCGAGAAAGCCCCACTCAAATTTGAATACACCAATCCCTGATCTCTATGTTGCCAATGTTCCTCTATCCGCTCACCTTCCTTCCTTCTCCCCTCTCTCCACAAGGAGGCTTCAATGGCTTTTACTAGCCAATCAAAGTGAAAAACACCATCAACCAGCACCTTAATCAAACAAGGAATGTCTTCAGGGCATACATTACTCAAAGAAATAGCAATTGAATGAAGGTTTCTACCAAAAAAAAAAAAAAACATTCAATCAGGCTTTGCACAACAAGGCAATAGAATCAAACACCTCTACTATCCAAAGATTGAAAGGAAGTCCCAAGATCCGAATGATTACTATGTCTTGCACATTCAAGTCGTTGGAATTGGACAGAGGAATCCACTTTGAGACAGTCACAGTTCCTACTTCCATTTGCAAGCAAAAGGCATGGAGCTTAATCTCCTTCCACCTCCTTAGACTACATCTCCTTCCTCCATAGAAATTATTCACTTAGCTCCTGTATCTCCTGTGGCTTCTCTTCAAACTCCCCTCTAGTACCTTGTAATTCTGTAAACCTTCCTCGAAAACAAAGAAATTCTAGCCATTTTCATCTCTCTCATCTTAATGCCTACCTTCCCCTTCACCCTGAAACTTTCGAAGAGCAACAGTTTTGCCTCATCATTATACAAACGCTTTAATCTATGCAGCTAATCAGAGAGGCCAAGTCTTCCATCTGCCAATCATTTAGATGTCTTCTAAATGTTGGCACCATGTCACTGTCCCACCATGCATCTCATATAAATATGACACCCAGGCATCTCTATCAACAGCCAGGATGAAAAGGGAAGGGCATCTCATATAAAAGTTGGGCACTAATTATCAAACATGTGGATCAATATTTTTTTTTTGACAACTTTTGAAGGGCTACACAATCGGGGGTAGTCCATCCCCCAACCCAGGTGCAGGCAGGATTCGATCCCAAGTCTCTGCTACGACCAGCAGGAGACCTTACCAACCAGCTGGTTGGCACCTTGCATGTGGATCAATAATCAATGGTAACCATAGTCCAGCCAGGGTCTAGTGACATAATTTGTGGCAATAGTAGCTCCTCATAAACTTTATTTTTCTTCAACAAACCACCAATCACCACTTGCCACCATTTTGGTTGTCTTAATATGCCCAATTCCGAGACCTTTGGAACTTTTTAGGGCACAAACTATCATCGAATCCACCAAATAAAACTCAAAATCATCTCTACTTCCCTTCCAAACAAAAACTCATGCTACTTATCCAACTTGTTCAGCCACACTGTCTAGAACTGGAAAGAAAGAGATCGAGAGAATGTATAAGGGAAGTACTTTGAATCAATGTCTATTGCTCTAATGATATATGTATAATAGAATTGTTTTCTCTAACTTCTTCAGCCACACTCTTCATTTTTTTTCCAAGATTTTCAGATAAAAATATCCTTTACTATTAAACTGAAAGTTTCCATCATCCTCACTTATATTTTATCAACGACCAGGTACCCAAGACAATCCAGAACATCCTTAGTCATCCTTAATATTTTAATCAATCAATAAGGAATTCTATACTCAAGGACTGAATACCTCTGTAACACCTAAAAGCACTACTTCCTGACATAAACCTTTCCACCCAGATTTTGTCACAAATTTTGACCTTCAGGACATTTTTTTCAATAAATAATATGCCATGCTACAGACCAAAGGGGAAACCCTTATGCAAACTGAAAAGTATTCACTACTGTAGAATTTAAGGACAATTTTTCTGACCTTGGGAAATCATGATAACCTCTCATCTGGAAGAAATGGGTGTGCAAGACAGTCCTTTAAAATCCAATAAGATTTGGACCAAAAGATGATTGTTTCTAAGCCTTCTTTCAAAACTCGTGCAGTTACTTTTATTCCATATGCTCCAAAACATTTTGGGTCCCAAAATTGCAGAACCTCCAAAAAAAATAGCAAAAATAGACCTCCGGCACCACAAAAGAATGCTGGACAAATTATGCAGAATGCTCATAAAAGGAACAATATCCAGAAATTTGTGTCTCCTCAAAGCCCCTAAATAATCTTTCCTCTTCCCACTTTAACAAGTTACACTTTATTTTGATTAGCACCCATTTCTACACTATCTTGAGCTTCAAGCAGATGTTAAAGGCTTTGCTGCCTCCTTGATGGACCACTGATACATCACCAGTGAGCCTAATTTAAGTTCCTCAATTAAGCACGTAATATAAGAGTTTTATATACTTGTTACAGCAGAAATAAAAGAAGCATGTTTTCCTTGCTTGGACCCTTTGCATATTGAGGACTTCAATCCTCTAATTTCTTTGTGCCTTTCAGAAGAATACCATACATATATGTTAGGAACTGGTTTTGCTAAGTTGCACACTGTAAGTCTAAAGTTGTTAATTGCAGTGATAAATATGTAACTAGGAAGTAGGAATATTTTAGAATCTTTATATCTGATAAGTGATCAAGAATCATAACATAAGGAAATTTTATCCTGAGAGATGATTACCATGATAACTTTGAATGAGATAAACTAGTTTGGAGTAATGAACACATTGAACAAAGTATTTAGTTTCTTACCCAAAAAAAAAAAAAAAACATCTCTCCTTAATAAGTGTACAAAGTATGATACTCCCATCCCAATTCCAAAATTAGTGTCCTTTGAACATTCAAATTAACCTAATTATAAGTTATTTCCATTGACAAACGGATAAGCTTTTCCTTATCTTAAGCTAATAAAACTGGATCTTCTTTACCAAAGCATCTTTATTAACCATCACTAAACCATTTTAAATTGCAAATGTCAGGCATAATAATCATAAAATCATGTCATTAAACTAAAAGAAGATAAATGAATAGCACAAAGTTTACCAATACCATACTTTTCTTCCAGTAGGGGGTGGAACATTTTTATGTTGAATCTCTTTATTTCCTCCCGTGTGGTCGGTATCAGGCCCTGGAACTTTGAACCAGAGGAAAACAACAGCAAGGGAGCCAATAAGCAACATTCCCAACAAGCTAACGACTACTAGATTGAAAAGAAGAATCACACCAACCATTTCTTTCCAACAAACTGGGACTGTCCCCAGTATTCCCGGGGACCTTGGACTCATCAGAAGAGTTACCAGAGTTACCACTATCTACAGAATTAAAATCTCCATCTTTGTACAAAACCAATGCTGGCTCTTTCAAGCCTTCGCCCGTTTCCTGAATTCAAAGCAAACCCAAATTCACCAGCTGGTAAAATAGATTAAAAGCAATAGTTTGAAACATATTCATAAAATAAACAAACGCACACACAGACAGGCAGAGAGAGAGAGAGACCTGCTGGATTGCATTTAATCTCAGTATATCGCTCCTATATTTCTGTGCCCAGAAACGAGACCCAATCATTAGCTAATTTAGCTCTTAAGAAAGAAACAATAAAAAAATAAACAAACAGTTGAATGAAACAACGGATTCATACAATGGTGGATGGATCCCCAAAAAATTCTGTGTGTGCTGCAGTAACAGAAAACGACCAGAACAATTAGAACGATCAACAAGAGTCAAACAATAAGTTAGAGAAAATCAATAGAAATATATAAATCACCAAGACCAACAAATATGGTACCGAAAGAAGGCGTGAAGTTTTTGAGCCTATTGGAGACTATAATGAGCGGAGAAAAGACGGAGACGGAAAGCAACAAGAGGATGAAAATCCTCTGACATCTCAGAGCCTGCTTCATGAAGCACTACACCAATAAGCTTTTGTTCTGTTTTTTTAGGGCTTCTCCTTCTTGGCAGAAAACTCATTTGCAGACTCTACGGTTCGTTCCTCTCTTCTTCATCAATAAGGAAGAAACTTGTTACTAGGGTTTCTCTCTCTTTTAACCTTTTTCTTTTCCTTTAAAAAAAATCAATTCATATTCCTCTGATCCTCTCTGCTGCTTCTGTTATTCCGTGTTGCCTGAGATCTATGTACTTGTTGAGATTACAACGGGAATTTAACACGCGGGCACGCTGGTGATGGTGATGGTGATGGTGTCATCACATGCATGATGGTGATGATGTTGATGGTTTTATGATGCATGTGTCATGATGTGATGACGATGCCTCCAGCTCTATGACATGAGTTTTCCCAGAAGTTAGTTATTATTTGGTGTAGCAAGTGTCTACTTGTCAATAATAAACTTCCCTCTCTTAAATACTTCCAAATTCCAATCTTCGATTTGACCATTTAACGATGATACGAGGTATATCTGGATCGTAAGTTCTACCAGATGAGTGTTGATTGTCTATTGACACATCGTAAGATATGCTGAGTTTCTGCAGGGGAGTGAGAGCGGTAAAACCTGCCGTTCAACGAGTTTCAACGGCTGACCTTTGCTAAAGAAAATGAATTTCATTCCTGTTGGAGCCTGACCGTTGGATGATCATTTCATCCAATTAATCAAAGATCCGAAGGTTAAGATTACACCATCAGTTGAACACCACCCCCCAGCAGGATTCGGCTTTCCCATCTTCCTCGGCCTCCGAGCACAACTTACAGAGTCCAGATCATCTTCCTGTTCATACAAACTCTGCACACTTTTATCGCAGCCATACATGGATAACACATTTCAACCTCTGCATATTATTATACAGGGGGAGATTTTTTCAATTCACGAGGGGTAATGTGTTGTGGGTAGAGGTGGGCAGAATTCTCGTGGATAGGAGATCTGGAGTCCAACTCACGTGCCCCCAATTCGGATCTAAATATGTTTCAACACCCTTATAATATATAGCGTGTGTTTTGTTTCGTGAGGACTCTTTGTAACGAGTTCACATCTATGCCCCATAGCACATCCCACCCTTGTATTGGGAACATCTCCGGATGATGTTTCATCATCTCCATACTTGTTATCGAGAGGTGTTCCCAATACAAGGTGGGGATGTGTTGTGGGACATTGTGGGTACCCCTTGTGGGGCACAGATCTGAACTCCTTTGTAACAGACATTTATAGGCGCCACTTAACATTTTTCCTATGCAGATTCGTACACATAGATACTTATAAAAGCAAGTCCTAATTTATGTGTGCGTTTATCGTTGGGGAAACTTCATTTTATCGCTTTCCCAATCGATAAGTGTTTATTTTTTGTTTTGTTGATGTGGTGTTTAATGGTGACTAAGTGTCAATAAATGGGTTTATTATTGTTTTTTTCGCTTTTACAAACAAATCAAGTACAAATGTTTAGCAAATAAACACCTACGGTTCCAAACACATACATCTCACCATGAAATTGGACCCACCATAAAAGAAGGGCCCATATTATGTATGTGATGTGCGATGTCAGATCATGTTATAAAGGTGTTGGAACCAATTATGTTGGCAGGAATTCTTAAGTTAGTGGACCATGTCAACATGGTGCATGTTTGAGATTATGAGGGTGGAAGGGGAGAAAGGTATTCACATTTCCATGGTGTTTGGTATCGATACTGTATGTATGTGGCATTGATGTTGTATATACAGCACCATTTTCATTGTTTTCTTAGAAAACGGTGTCTTTTTTCTGTTTGAAAACCTTGCTGCCAGGTAGGACATTTCCTGGGGCAACAGCAACACCTTATGTTTAGTACCAGTGCTTCATATCCATTTTCAGCATTGGTACCCATTATCCAATGCTTCTATTATGTATATATTATCTTACATCCAACGGTGGAAAAAATGCCCATTTCATCCTACGTTCCCAATTGTTGAATAAACTATTAAAAAAAGAAATTCAGAAAACCATGAGGAAAATGACAAAAAAAAATCTAAAAATTACATGGAAGAAAACAGAAAAATTCTAAACAAATGGAAAAATATAGAACAAAGTATGAAAATCAAAAAATTGAATGGAAAAACCAGAAAAAAAAAAGAAAAAAAAAACTGATAAAAAGCCATAGAATAGAAGAGAAGTATTTTGTGATATGAAGCATTGTGATGCACCATATCAATTCAAATATAATACAAGTTGGCTGCGACGTCACTGTCACATCATGTTACTGTTGGCAGCAACAAGCTCCAAATGATAAAACATTGAATTCGGCGTTTCCCTAGACCACGCCTTCTCGATTTCCAAGGCGTGGTCTGGGACAACGTTTTTATGGAAAAAACGGTTCCAAACATGAGACCATTTTTTGGAGCATTGATTTTTCCACCGTGGCACTGATGTGTCATCATTTTTTGGAGCAACGACATCAATGCCAAACATCACCATTGTTTTTCGAAGCATCGATGCCAGCTCAGCTCCATATAGGCATTTAACATAAAATTGCAAAAATGATGTTTAGTTTAGCTTTTCAGTTGATAAATGTCTCAAATTATGTGAGAGCCATTTATCAAAAAATGCCAAAAATGTTGTTTTCTTTTTTCTTTTTCAAGGTCTTTTTTTTATTATTTGGCTTATATGGTGTCAAGGCAAAAAAAAAAAAGTTTAAAGTAGATTTTGTCCCAATTCTTGAGACAAATCATACAAAACATTTATTAGATAAGCACCATCAATACAAAGCATCCTCTTCATTGGTGGTGGAATGTGACCATGGTTGTATTTTTTTATTCATTTTTCAGGGATGAAGACCAAAGAACAACAACCTTTGGCTTTCTAAGGTGAGCACCACCCAAACAACCTATAAGGTATGTTTAGTGAATGTTTGGAGAGCACAAATCAATTGTCAAACAGTCATTTAAAGGTATGTCCTCTCCAGTCTCTTTGAATAGCTTATTTTGAGTTTTTCAAATAGTTGTATCCGTTTACTCAAGTCTTTAGTTCAACCATCCCAAACATGTCAATGATTTGTGGGATTCTTTTGTGATGAGGGGTAACTTAGTCCTTCAATGATATCATGACACATGGCGTTGCAGAACAGGAGAGTGACATCTTGGCAGCAAGTAAGCATACCCTAGGAGCACTTCAGACACTTCACAATCGCCTTGACAACCTCGGCACCACTCTAGCAGGCCAAACTATGAACAACCAAGCAAGACCTTAGGTTGGCATAAGAGGCGACCTGCTTCCACTGATTTGACCCGACTCCGGTTAGCAACCTGCCTAACGTGTCGGGCGACCTCCCCCTTAAGCAGGCTATCACCTCCAACTTCCCTAGGATCAAGATGCCACACCGGAAAAGCCGATTATCACCCCGTTCACTTCAGGTGCAATTGGATAAATGTTACCCGCTTACGTGGAGTCCACCTCTAGGCGTGAAACCACCTTTGAACCAGACGGGCTAGAGATCTTGAATGCGCTTCATGAGGCTCACGGTAGCTTGCCTATATAAAGGCCTCACCTTCAACCTCACAAGGTATGCATGATTTAGCTCTCGCTTTCTTGCACTCAAACACCTAGTTCGCTGACTTAAACATCGGAGTGCCCACCTTGGGTAAAGTAACCTAGATACTCTAATCATCACTTTCTTACAACTCAACTAGGCAACCTACTCAGTCCAGCGTCCGAGCTGTCTACTGGCAGGGAGCACCCGATCGCACATCTTCATATTGCATCCTACCCCTAGCATTTGGAATAAATTCAAAACATAAACTTCTCCTTGTTTTTCCCCACCTTCCCTATATTTTCTTTCAAACCAAACAACTAAAATGAATTGTTATTCCAATAGTTGGTGTGTCTGTGTATCATGGGTAGGTCGTTGGCCACTAGAGAAGGGTACGTGCTCTCCTGCAACCATGTATGAATATCATATTGAACACACATATGACTTGATAGGCCCATGACTTGATTTTTAACCAATAGGGATATTGTTATTGTTATGGTACTCAACATTCAAGAATTGTGATGGTAGTATGACACTTTTAACACTACCCCCACCCCATACCCCATCCACAAGACACTAAAACCTTATGGGGACATGTTCCAAATGTATAGCTCTAATGTCTTGTGGTAGCATTGACTTGAATCATAGATCTAGAGTCATTTTAAATTTTTAATACAATTTAAAGTCTTATCTATATCTATGCTACCTATAAAAGAGCGAATGCCCCTTATTTCTTGAATTTTCATTGGATGTTTTCTACCCCGCTTTGTCTAAGCATACAATAGACATAAAGAGGGCATATATGTCCTTTACTCTCACTTCAGAAAATTGCCCACTTATAACCGTATAAGGAAAGGTCTATTGTCTGGAGTAGGGGTGAGACCAAAGAAATTGATATTGAGAGTCTCGGTTTACAAGAGAAGAAGATTCTATTAGAGAGGTTGTTGAGAGTTGTAGAGGAGGATAATGAGAAGCTTTTGTTGAAGCTCAAAAACCGGATTGATAGGTATTAGAGACTCTTCTTATTTTTTCTTCATTTCTTTTCCCTTTTTTTGTTGAACTGAACTTTTTTCCCTTGAATATACTTACCTAGTTACTTTCTCTGCATTTGGGTTGTGCTTAGAGTTGGACTTGATATTCCCAAAATCGAAGTCCGATTTGAGCATTTAAATGTTGATGCATAAACTTATGTGGGAAGCGAAGCTTTGCCAACAATCTTCAATTTCTCTGTTAACATGCTTGAGGTGAGTTAAGTGCATTCAATATTTTAATCACCATGTATTCATGTATAGTTTATTTTTCTAGTTACTTGAAATGTGGAAGTTTGGATATACTCCCAACAAAAAACCATCCCAACAAATTTTAACATGATTAGAGTCTGCACATTTTATGCATGATGGGTCCTAATCTTGTGGTGAGATGTGAAGACAAATCATGTTAGAACATGTTGAGATGGTTTTTTGTTGCAAGGAGATCTCCAATTCACCATGTGGACAATAATGACCCATTAAAGCATTTTGGGACTATCAAATTGCATTTCACTATTAGGCAAGCACAATGTAGTCATCTCTATATATAACCTAAAAGCAAAAGGTTGTACGTACATTTGTCAAATGGAATCTTTTTTATATAACCTAAATGAAATCTTGTAATCTTATAATATTTTCCTTTTCATGCTTTTAACCTTTATCTTTACAAATTTAATT